CAGATACCATGCAGTACAAAAGGATGAGATTGAGAAGATGATAGATGAGATGCTGGAAACAGGGGTGATAAGACCAAGTACCAGCCCTTACTCTTCAACCATTGTAATGGTGAAAAGGAAGGATGACTCTTGGAAGATGTGTGTGGACTATAGAGAACTGAACAACCACACTGTGAAGGATAAGTTTTCTATCCCTGTGATTAAAGAGTTGCTAGATGAGCTCCATAGTGCTAAGTATTTTTTCAAGCTAGACCTCAGGTCTGGCTACCATCAAATTAGAATGTTTGAGCCTGATATTCCCAAGACAACATTCAGAACACATCATGGTCATTATGAGTTCACTATTATGCCATTTGGCTTAACTAATGCTCCTTCAACTTTTTAAAGTTTGATGAATAAGATCTTTCATTCTCACTTGAGTAAGTTCATCTTAGTCTTCTTTTGTACCCCAACTGGCACGACCATATGATTCACTTAAAAGAGGCTTTCAACATCTTGAGAACCAATGTCTTGTTTGTAAAGAAGAGTAAGTGTACCTTTGCGGTCACATAAATTGATTATTTAGGCCATGTCATCTCTGAAGAAGGTGTCTCCATGGACAGACAAAAGGTGGAGTCTGTAGTCAGTTGGCCTCAACCAACCACTCTCAAAATTTTCAGGGGATTCCTCGGATTAGTTGGATACCACAGAAGATTTATCCAAGGTTCTGGCATCATTGCAAGACCACTCAATGATCTGCTGATAGGGATGGCAAATGGTGCAGTGCGGTGCGGTTATGGGACAACCCCGCAAGGATTTCAACCCGTCCCGCAAAGCATTTCTACCCACGTTCACCCGCCCCACACCAACACCCACATCCACCAGCCCCGTCCTGCCCCGCCCCGTATAAGTTTTTTTTCTTTATTTTGTTAGTTTTTTTTTTAGATTTTGGATGAAATTTTCAGTTTAATAAAAATAAATACAAGATCTTTTATTGATCATATACTGAATTCGTCAATTAGGAAAAAAATAAGTTTTTGTTGCTCATTGTAAAAATCGCAAATCACCCCTTAGTATTTTACATTATTACTGTTTCTATTGATATTAACTCTCTCTATATTATCATCCCCTTTTCTCCACCTCTTTATCTTATCATTCACAATATATTAATTCCAATGAAATATAGTGCTGGAATCTTGAATTTGGTTTATCAACATTCTATGATGTTCACATCCATTTGTTCAATTTTCTTGTCATTAATTTTAGAAACGTGAGTTTTTGGCATCAAATATTGTGAAGTGCATATACTTATCTGTAATTATATGTTTAGGCATGGTTGAGAAGATGAAGCGCTAAGATGACTATAGAAGCATAAATGTATATAAAAATTGCTTAAACCCGCGTAAATCCGCAACCCGCCCCGCAATCGCGCCCGCCCAAGCTAAAACCTGCACTGCCCCGTTTGCCATCCCTATCTGCTGAAGAGGGACATTTTCAAGTGGAATAATGCAGCTGCACATGCCTTTAAGGAGCTCAAAAGAGCAATTAATTCAGCTCATGTCTTAGCTCTTCCGGACTTTTTCAAAGAGTTTGTGGTGGAAATAGATGCTTCACGTAGTGGAATTGGTGTTGTGTTGACTCACCACAACAAACCTATAGCATTCTTTAGCCAAGGTCTATATGACAGGAACAAGGCCCTTTCAGTCTATGAAAGGGAAATGTTAGCACTTGTTACTGTTGTGCAAAAGTGGAGGCCATATCTATTGGGAAGGAAATTTACTATCAAAACTGATTACCACAGCTTGAAGTATTTGCTGGAACAAAAGATCACTATTCTTAGTCAACAAAAATGGCTAGTGAAATTACTTGGCTATGACTACACTATTTCTTATAAGAAGGGAAAATATAATATAGTTATAGATGCTTTGTCTAGAAAGCAGGAGCCTATTCAACTATTCAGCATTTCTAGTGTGCAATCTCAGCTATTGGAAGTTGTCAAAGACTCATGGAACCAAGATGTTAAGTTGCAATAGCTAGTTCAATCCATCCAAGCAAGCAAAAACTCCTAACCATATTATAAGTATCAAAGGTGGTATCCTAAGCAGAAAGGGCAAGATGATGGTGGGCAATGTGTCGGAACTTAGGAAGGATTTGATATCTTTCTATCATGACAGTCCAAATGGTGGTCACTCTGGTATTACATCAACTTTCCAGAGGCTCGAACAAGAATTTTACTGGAAAAAGATAAAACAAGATGTGTATTCCTATATTAGATGTTGTGATGTCTGTCAGAAGTATAAAGGTGAAAATGTTGCCTACCCTGGCTTGCTAAAACCTTTGCCATCCCTAACAGGATTTAGAAAGATATTTCTATGCACTTCATTGAAGGTCTTCCCAAGGCAGCCAGCAAGGAAGCAATCTTTGTTGTGGTGGATAGGCTAAACAAGTCATCTCACTTTATGGCTCTCAAGCATCCTTACTCAGCATTGGATGTTGCACAGCTACTCATGGATATTGTATTCAAGCTGTATGGAATGCCTAAAATTGTTGTCTCTTATATAGATGCTATTTTTAGTAGTAAATTCTGGAAGGAATTATTTAAACTACAGAAGATGTCTCTCTTGACTTCCACCTCCTACCACCCACAAACCGATGGACAGATAGAGATGGTCAACAAATGTTTGGGGTGTTACTTGAGGTGTATGACCTTTGAGAAGCCAAAAGATTGGCCCTAGTTGTTATCACTAGCTGACTAGTGGTACACCACCACCTTTCACTTTGCTATTAGCATGACTCCATATGAGGTTGTTTATGTCTAGACCCCATCTGTGAGAAATTATTAGGCTTGTTGTTGTTGTATGGCCAGAAACCACCCCCTCTACTGCCTTACATGACCTTTGACTCACAACTTGATCTTGTGGATAGAAGCCTACAAACTAGAGAATCAACACTAAGGTGTCTTAAATTCCACCTACAGAGAGCTTAAAACATAATGAAAACTTAGGCTAACAAGGAAGAACTACAGGCAACTGTCTCTAAAGTCCCACAATTTCCAAAAATTATTTGTTAAGTTCTTTGGTCCATTTCAAATCCTGGCAAGGGTAGGAGCCGTGGCTTACACTCTGAACTTACCCAAGGATTCTAAGATTCATCCCACTTTTCATGTGTCTCAACTCAAGAAGAAATTGGGATCACATACAGTTGTTGTCACACTACCTGTAGTTCACTCAGAGGCAGGTCATGTTCTGATGGTCCCTGAAGCAATAATTGATAGGAGGTTGATAAAAAAGAATGTCAAACTTGAATCTCAACTATTGGTTAAATGGCTCCGTGCTGCTGAAGAGGACTGCACATAGGAAGATTATGAGTCCTTTTGCTAACAATTTCCTGATTTCAATCCTTGAGGACAAGGATTGTCTCAAGGGGGGAGTATTGATATGAGTGATCCCGTTAGATTTTCAGATTAGCTATTTTAGTTGCTAATTCGTATTTTAGCTGAAGCCAATTAGTATTTTAGTTGAAGATTTAATCATTGTAACAGCTGGTTAGTTAAGGTCACGTGTTGCATGTGACTTCTGGTACAACTATAAAGGAGTTAGTTATAAATAACTTCCGGATTCCTTTTCTCTTCCCAACTGCTCGCTTATGTATAAGCAATGGATTTAGTTGTACATTTCATTCGAATATTTTAACCAATAAGAATCTCTCTTATCTCTCTCAGTTCTTCTTCCATTCTTCTTCTTCTTCTTTTCCATTAAGCTCAAACTGTTCAGAAGCAATTTTGTATATTTGCTTCTTAGGTTTTGTTTATTCTCTTTCTAATTCTGTATAGTGCGTATCATCTAATCGACACTTATGAATATCGACGATCAACTTGACCAACTCCCGTGCTCAGTTGCTTCAATCAATTATGGTGATTTGGCCAATGGCCGACAATTATAAATACATGAAGTAATTCCTCATGTCATGGATTATATAATTGGATTTCTTCCTGACATCCCCATGCTCTAAGTTTAGTAAGAGTAGAATATATTTAACAAATCCTACGGTTTCCAAGCAATTGAAAGTTCCTGCAGGTGGCGGCCGACGGTCAACACAGGTCCTCCATTTTTCTATACTTTTTCCTCTTTTTAGATTTTTTTTATTTGTTTAAGTTAAGTCCACGTGTCCCCATTGTATTTGTCACCATGGTGTGTGAATTACACGCATATTTTGTATTTGGTTGGCTATCAATTTTGTATTTATATGACACACTAAAAACCTAGCTAAATTGTTTAAATAAAACAAACTTAAGATGAAGTATCTAAGTAAAAATTGTGAGCAACTTTAAGGAGTTGTCGATGCATTCTGCCTTGAAAAATTATTATCTTTGAGTTATGTTATGTGAATTCTCTAAAATAACGTTGTATCCATGTCGGATCCTCCAAAAATACATTACTTTTGGAGGATATGACACACATCCAACAATATTTTCGGAGAGTTCGGGCAATATAGTCTTCGACTTGACTGTCGGACACTTCTTGAAATTCGATCATGTAATTTTCAAGACATATTTTTTTTTTTCATTTTAGGTATACTTATTTGCTACTATTGTTCATTCATAATGCTTTTATCGACTTACTATTGACATTCAATATTTTTACCTTTTGTCAAATTAAATTATTTTTTTGTTTAGTTTCACATTCTCTTATTTAAAAGTGAAATTATGCTTTCTTGCGTTTACATATTTTAATGACAAAAATCACAAAAGGAATTGCTTTTTGAAGATTTTTTTTTTTAAAAGACAGAGAACATTTTTTTATATGTTTTGAACACATTTCTATTGAATTTTATTTCAAAGGAAACAAAAAATGAAATGCATTATGGTTTTGATTCTTTACGTATTTGAACAAAGAATTTTTTATTTCTTTTTAAAAGTTAAGAAACTGAAATCAACACTAATATTAGATAACTGTTGTTATGCCAATGATTTTAGAATTCGAATAAAAATTACCATTGGCTAAAAGGGAAAAAAGAAAATTCCCAATCATATCTAAAAAAGAAAAAATAGTTAAAAGGAAAAAACAACTTGAACCGGCCTAACCGCGCACTACTTCGGCAATATAAAAATAACACAGCGTTCAAATAAAGCTCCAAAAAAAGACGAAACTTTTCAATCAAAGCTAAATTAGGAGAAGAAGAAGATAAACCCTACCATTCAAATTCTCCAAAAAGGACACAAAGGGCAAATCGCCAACAGAAGAAGAAATCAGTACCTCTCAATCATATTCGCAAAGGTATTTATTTCCTTCTGCTCTGTTTTTTTTGTATAACAACAGTCAACTAGACGGATTTTGAATTTGAAGTTTATGGTTCCTATACTCGATTCACATTCAAATATTTATCAATATTCAGTTGATTTCATAATACATATACAAAGTCTGGGCAAAAACTATTAGATTCATGTGATTATTCGTCCATGTTTTTACGCCTTAACTTTGCCCACCAAACTTTAGGCATATAAGAAGATTTATTTCTCTTTTTTGCCTCCATTAACACAGGGGCCAATGCAACTTGAAAGCACTAGGTTCATCTGAACATAGTACTTTCGGCGCGCGGTATATATTTAAGCGTAAAAAATTACTAAAATTGCAAAAAAATAGTAGATATAAACCCCTTAACTTTAAAAATATAATGAATTTGAAATATCGTTGATCAGGTGAGTTGAGGGTGTACCAATTGAGTTTATCCATCGGGGTTTGTTGGTTGGACTTAGATTCTATGTGTGTTGATTGCTATGGCTAAAAGGTGTATTTTCCATGTTTAATTTAGAATTAAATTGGTAAAATATGTTAGACCTAGTGAGAAAATTTAGCTGAACATGGTTGCAGTGTTTCTAAACTCTTGGTAAATACTGAATTTGTCTATTATTTGAATACTTTAAAAATAAATTGACTGATAGCACTTTCTTGTTCTATCCAGGCAATGGAAGTTCACTTTCAAGAGGAAATACTTATGGACATCCTCAACAGGTTACCTGTGCAGTCTCTTCTTCGATTCAAATGTGTTTCGAATTTTTGGAAAACATTGATCTCCGGGCCTTACTTTAAGATGAAGCATCTCAAACATGCCAAGAATGATGAAAATTCCCAAAAATTTCTCATTTGCCAGTTGTGCCCTGAGGATGGTATATATTCCGTATATTGTTGTCCCTTAACGTTGGTTCAACGGGTTGAGGATGTACGAAACTTGATTGTCCTTCAGACTCTAAACTGTGGTATTGCTCAATCTCTTGTTGTTATGATGGCTTGGCTATTATTGAGGTTTGTGATAGTACTGTTGATTAGCACCACATACTTGTGCTATGGAACCCCTCCACAGGAGAATCAATAGTACTTCCTGATCCAGAATTTCCACCGAAGGGAGTTTCTTGTTTGGGATTGGGTTACGACTCAACTAGTCGTGACTATAAGATTCTTAAGGTTGACGAGAAGAAAGAGAATGGTCGCAAAGTACCTAGTGAAATTCTTGCGCTGAAAAGTGGTTCGTGGAGAAAAATTGATAAACATCCTCATGACATTCGCAATGAGTTGTTTGGTATGCATTCTTTGGCATTTGTACATGGGGCATTTCATTGGGTCGGTATTGAAGAAATTATTTTATGGTTTCATTTAATATTTCAAATGAAGTATACAGAGAGATACCATTGCCAGAGCAAATATTTTTGCTTAATATTGGCGTTTCAGTATTGGAAGAAATGCTTTGTGTTTATTCTACTTATGATTTTTTGTGGGAGAATACTTTTAAGTTATGGGTATTGAAAGACTATGGTGGCAATAAATCTTGGGATGCATTGTTTACTGTAGGAGATCCCCGGATTTATAAAGTCGTACCAAAATATAGGTTTGCGGATGGTGAAGTCCTATTCTGGTCCATGGGTTTTGACGGGCAGTCATTTAGGACGTCCAGAGGACCATTTGGATTGTGGCCTCGAGCTGATAGCTTTCAAAAAGGATTCGCTTTTACAGAATGCTTGATCTCTCCAAAACTACTTACTTAGTATTTGCGGATATATGATCGAAGGCACTTTTCCTTTTTTCCGTTATCATGTTACAACCTCTTATTCTTCTTAGTTTATCTATTGCTTGCCAGTTGTTTGGTTTCAAAATGTATTTACCAAAGCTTTGAGCTTACTTGTTTCATTCCCCCCTTCCTCCTCCTCTCTCTTCTACTTATTGATAGTCTAGTCTTATATATTAATTGCTTCGAGTAATGCACTGTTTATTCTTCAGCTATAGTTCACTGCAACGGTTCCTAGTTGGATTGATAATTAGAACTATGAATTAATTAATTCATAATTGGATGATTAGACAATATCATAAAGGACTGATCTTTTGAGTATGTGAGTTGGGCTTAAGTACAATGGTATGAAGGGTGCTAAAACTTTCTGATAGATGAGACACAGTAGAGAATATCACATGTCATAAGGAGATTTATATGTTAGGTTTGAGCTTGTGGCTTGGGAAGAAGGGGAGCCTTGGCGTAACCGGTAAAGTTGTTGTCATGTGACCAGAAGTTCACGGGTTCAAGCCGTGGAAATAGCCTCTTGCATAAATGTATGGTAAGGCTGTGTACGATAGACCCTTGTGATCCGGCCATTCCCGGAGCCCGTGCATAGCGAGAGCTTAGTGCATCGGGGTGCCTTTTCTTGTGGCTGGGAAATGGGGCCAAATTGCAGGTAGTAAAATAGTTAATGTCATCTGAAAATTATGGTGAATGGTGTTTGATGTCTTTGGTGTTGATAAGGTGCAGTTTGGTTCTTTTTGTTTTTCTTATTTTATAAAGTAACATGTGCTGCTATAACTTATAAATTTTGTTGTTTCTATTTACTTCTATAGGTACTTTTCTCCTCTTCTTTTCTCCTCACAAAGTTAAAAGAAATACTCATACGAGTAAACGAATTTTGCAGCTGTTTATCCTTATTGAAAAATTGCTATATTTTGTGTAATGAAGATTGTGATTTGTGAGTGTCGAGTTGTCTTAAATTGAATTTGTTCGAGTCTTTAACTTGACTGTCATGCACTTCTTGAAATCTGATGCGGTAATTTTCAAGACACAAACTGATATTCATCTTTTGTATAATTATTTACTATACTATGTTCATTCATAATGTTTTCATCAACAATTATTATACCCAATTGTAATTATAATTAGATTGCAACTCAAGCAAAATGGATTGTCTTGCAATGGATTCTATTTTGTTTTTAACTTTTTGGTCATTAAAGTATGTTTTAGTCATATAATAAGTTTTTACTTTGGTTCTATGCTTTTATATGAATCTTTTAGCCTTATCATAAATTTATAGGCCAATTAACATATGGAGAACTTCTAATATATTTTTACTATTATACACAGACACATTTACATATTGCTTAAATTATGTTTTTACTTTTATTTTATTACATATAGTGAAGGATTGAGATAGATTTAACGGATAAGGGTCTGATTTGCCCATTACTATCATAAATAGGCCTTATTTACCCTTCGTTTAATTTTTATATCAAAAATATCTTTACCGTTATACATTAGGTTCATATTTACCCCTTAAACGTTTAAAAGAGTTACATTTGTCATTCGTTATACTTTAGGATCACATTTACCCCTCTACTCTTCGAAAAGGGTTACATTTGCCCTTCGTTATACTTTCTTGACATATTTATCCTTACAATTATACCATACATTTACCCTCATCCGGTAGATCGCCATGTCCCACCTTTGTTTTCCTCCATGGGGCCTATGTGGATTTCTTATTCTTCCAATTTAAATATGGTCACCTATTTAAGATAATTTAACCCGCCCACCCAATTTAAATAAGACTTCATTAACTCTATTGTTGTGCAACTTCTTGTAATTTACTTTGGTTACTACAATAATTGTGAGTTGTATTAGATTAGTGATTTTGAGTTTAAAGTTATTATTTGTCAATATGTTGCCGCTTCTATAACTATTGTATTTCGCACAATCTTCATAAATATCGTATCAGGAAATTGCTTTTCGTGAATCAAGCATGGTCAATTGACCCAGTTTAGACTTTACAGAGTTGCATCTCTACAAACACTTCAAAATATCATTGAGTGATTCATGTCTCCTAACTCTGAAGTATTAAAGGGAAACAAAATAACATAGACAAAGGCGNGGTGACGAGCTGACACAGATAATTGTTAGGATAAATATGTCAATAAAGTATAACGAAGGGCAAATGTAACCCTTTTCGAATAGTAGAGGAGTAAATATAATCCTAAAGTATAATGAAGGGCAAATGTAATTCTTTTAAACGTTTAAGGGGTAAATATGAACCTAATGTATAACTGTAAGGATATTTTTGATAGAAAAATTAAACGGAGGGTAAATAAGGCATATTTATGATAGTAGAGAGGCAAATCAAACCCTTATCCGTAGATTTAAATAGGGCTGTGCATAATTTGGTAAATATCAAATTACCGTACAAAAAGCGAAAATTTTATTATTTGGTATTTAGTATAAGTTTTTAAAAAAATTGGTATTAAGTATGGTATTTGATATTTTAAAATGAAATACTAAAATACTGATATCGTACCAAATATATATTATATTACACAATACATATATTATTAATTATAATATAAATATAAAAAATCTATAATTTTTCTTTTCTTTATTCTTTAAGTTCATTAATTAACTCTATGCAAGTAACAAGACATTTCTAATGGCCAAATTTATTTCTTTATGTACATTTTTCTCTCTATTGGTTGATATTTTGCTCGTTTTGGACAAAACTTTTAACGTTTTCAGTTTTGTTCGTTTGAGTACTTTAATTAAGAATATTACAGTCTACGGCTCTATGTACTAGTCAGTATTCAAACCAAATAAATCGAAGTCACCGAACCGACTAAACCAAAATCGAAAGGAGAAAAATCGAATCATACGAATTTAATTAGGTACGATATTAGTATAACATTTAAGAAATTAAATACCGAAAATACCGAATCGAAATATCTAAATATCATACCGTACCGACTAACGAACACCCCTAAATTTAAATGGAGAAACATATTTAATAATAATTTATATAGACGATCATAACTTCTTTTTGGGATTGTTGCTCATACCAACGGATACAGCTTGTGGATTGACAATGAGTTCAAATTGCAGTTGTTGATAATATAGGATTGTTATTAGGTGAATTCGGCAGATTGGACTAATCAATTTTGTAAATAGTCAGCATATATGATTATAAGTTGAATGGAATGGATAAACATAAAGCTTATACTGTCTATGTTTGATCATGTGTTTTATTATTCTATCCCTTATAATTTTTATAATTCCAAAATAATCTTTAAAACAAAAGCCTTAATTCACACATTTCTTTTCCCTTTTTTTTCCTCCACTTTTTCTTCTTCGGCAATATTGAGGTTTGGTATGTAGGAAAATACTATTTTTTTTTAATGTTGATTTTTACTGGATTTTTTTTGATTTTTATCGTGTTCCTTATTATTCCAAAGAAAAAAGCAAATAAAAGAAAATAAAAACTATTTGAGAGATTGTATTGGTTGATAACCAGTATGTACCTTAACTCGAACATGATAAATCTATTAATTTAACTATTTGAGAGTTTGTATTGGTTAATAACCATTATGTAATGCTGATACCTTAACTCGAACAAGAAAAACATGATAAATCTATTAATTAATTAGACATAATTAAACGTAAAAAAAATGCAAAGAGATAAAATGACAAATATATACTTGAAATTATAGAAATTACACTGCTGTACAAACCATAAAAGATTTGTATTTGAACAATTTAGAATAAAAATTATATAGTATCAGCTCCTGGTAGTGGTAACAACTTTAAAAATAATTTAGTTATTTTTACAGAAAAATACTTATTTTTACCAGATACAACAATAACTTATTTTCCGAATATGTAGCTGCTAAAATCATTTCCGACAGTTAAAAAGTGTTTTTCACATTTTGGTACTTAAAAGCTACCAAACGGGCTCCATTCGCTCCTCTGCTAACGGATTGCCGAAAGGGTTTTGCTAATTTTCTTATTTTTTTCTGTTGTTCTTTCTCTGGTTACCTGTATGTAGCTTTATTTTTCTTTTCCAAATAGTAGTAATTGTCAATTTATCAGATTAAATTCGTTTATGTGTTATATCTTATATCATGGGTAATTTTGTGTTTTTTTTTTTGTGAAGGTAGGGGGAATTCATTAGGGTAAGTTGAATGATCAAAATAGTGGTGAAATGTTAGCTTCTAAAATCATCAAGAAAACATTAAGATGGAACTATATTTTGTTAGCAAGTCGATCCTTTTCTGTTGCGACGAGTGAAGCAGACAGCATTTTGTCTCTAATCAATATGAGGTAACATTCATTAATTAAAGCTTTTGAGAAAAATTTCTGATGTTAAACTTTCCTCTCTGTGTTTCAGTAATTTTGTTGCCGTGGTGTTTGATGAATTACTCATAGCCTAAGTTATTGAAGATTTATTTTGTTCCTGCTAATAGCGGAGCCAGGATTTTCATTAAGGGGTATCAAAATTTAAAGAAATAAATACACGTATAAGTTAAGGGGATTCAATACATAGTATATATATATTTTCTGGATTGACACCCCTTGGAGCTATGTGGCTCCGCCACTGGTTCCTGCACCATTTAATTTGTTTCCTCACCATAATTCTAGATAGTCGTGGATTTGGATTTTATCGTGACAACCAAGAGAATAAATCGATGGAACATTTAAGTGTAATGCATATACTTGGAGTTTTTCTGTGTTGGAATCATAATGACTGCGAAAAAGAAAAAATCAAAGATGAAATCATGCTAAATCATGGCAACTAACTGTGAACACCGTGGGAGAGAACATTGTTGATGTTTCTTGATAAATTAGAAAAGAGCTGATCTATCAGTGAAGCAAATGAATTAATAATGAGGTTCTTAATTTAGCAGTTATTAGCTCGCCCTCCTATTACTAAACTTTTTTGATGGCTAGATCATACCAGATAATGATGACAAGATAGAGGTCTGATATATCTATTTTGTGGCCTGAAGTCATTTTCCAAAATAAATCTAAGTAATATGTCCAGAAAAAAGTAGCTGTTTAGTGTGTCATTGCAGTTTGATCAGAAGATTGGAACCCCAGAAGCATTTTTTACAAATATTGGAAAATTTCATGCTATTCTTTCAAATTGAGTCACTACGGTGCGATGGTTTTCTGCGGTTACTTTAAGTCAAGTGTTTTGGAAAAAATCTGTGTTGTTTGAAGCTATTGTGCAAGGTTTTCGCTTTTATCTTTTTTTCCGATTAGTTTTACTGGCATCCAGTGAGTTTTGACAAGCAACTCTTCTTTTTCACCTTTTCTTGATAGTAAAGTAACTATTGCCTTGCAGCAACGACATTGGAGGAGGAGCATTCCAATTGCAAAGACAAATGAGAAGGGATTCATTATGTAGTCCTTTATTTAATCAAGATCATAGGGTGGTTAGATCAAGTATAGGATCTTTTTCTTTGTCAAATTGTTATTACAGCAGCCATGGATATTTAAGAGACGTCAAAGACAAGGTATTCTGTTTTTTGTCCGTGTTTGTGGATCTTGATGTCATTTCATGTAGTGTGCTTTCCTTTTTTGATTGTTGATAAAGATATGGACATTGGACCTAACTCAACCCCAAAAGCTAGCTCATGAGGTGAGGATTGCCCGAGCCATATAAGGAGACCAAGTCCCCATCCCTTAGCCTATGTGGGAGACTCAACACCCCCCTCACGCCCCAGCCTGCCAATTGGAGCGTGGACAATATAATATGGGGCCCAACATCGGTGAAGCAACAAATGGGATGGGTCCGGTTCTGATACCATGTGATAAATGGACATGGTAGAAATATGAACATTGGGCCTAACTCAACCCCAAAAGCTAGCTCATAAAGTGAGGATTTCCCAAACCATATAAGGAGACCAAGTCCCCCATCTCGTAGCCAATGTGGGAGACTCAACAATTGTTAACATTGGTGACCTAACTTGTGTAAGGGTTAGACATATGCTAACTTCCCCGAGTCGTCAGCTCTATGTTCCTTGATTTTTCTCTTTATAATTGTGGCACCATCTAATATATTGTGTAGTCCTTAGGATCTCTTCCTGAAGTTGTCAAGATAGTAGAAGTTGGCCCAAGAGATGGACTGCAAAATGAGAAGACAATAGTACCTACAGAAGTGAAGGTGGAGCTTATTAACTTACTTGTTTCTAGTGGACTGCCAGTTGTTGAGGCTACTAGTTTTGTGTCTCCAAAGTGGGTACCACAGGTATATAAATTTTGCTTGTCCTAGTGGATCTTATCTTTATGTATCTTGCATTGGTCATCCTTGTATAATTGACATACATTTTGTTGCTAATTTGTCCTTATCAACTGTGTGAAACGAGAAGAACTTTCCTTTCAGTTCAATCTTTTGATGGTTAGTTTTTTATCTTTAAGCATGAGTATGGGATTCTTCTTATGGTCATTAGCTATTCACTGGTTAGGACCATTACTAAGGCCCTTAAGGGTTGTTACTTTTGTATTTTGTCTATTTTGCAAAGATCAATGACCATGAAAAGCATTGTTTAATGCTCTTTGAGTGCTTTTGTAATTCATTTTAGATTTTTGAGGAGAAAACATGTGGTTCCTCAAAGATCTGGTTCCCTAAGGTAGAGATATTAGGAAAGGTTTCCCGTTTCAAGGTTCAAGTTCTTGATTAACTTTTTGCTTTACAATAACGACGTTACAAAATGTCAAATGAGTAGTATATGTGTGGAAATTGTATGGAACAAGTTTGAAGACTTATGCTGATAAATTGTTTATACATTGCAGTTTTATCAAATTCATACTTCTATATCATGAAAAGGATGTTCATTCTGCCAGACATGTGCAAGTCATGTCAATTTCACTAAAAGTTCAAACTCAAAACTGTACTCTGTGTCTACTCACTTCTTCTCCCGGATATGATGTCCCCCCTTCTCTTGCATAATGTGTTCTTTTCTATAATGTAAATTCTCTGATATTCTTCAACCAAATTTCTAATTTGACATGCACTTTACATTGTTTTAGTCGTAATTATGTTTTAGTCGTGGTAGTAGGTTTGTTAGGTCCAATGTTCGTTAGGAGTCTTTTTGTCTTGTCAGAACCTTATGTGGCAGTAGAAAAAGACTTCTAGTAGAAAATGTAGAGAACTTGGTGCTAGAAAAAAATTATTTTTTATAATATGAGATTGAGACTGGTTTAAATGGGGTGACATGGATAGTGAGGATTCATATAGCGATCCAAACCTGCTTGGGATTGAGGCACAGTTTCGAAAAATGTAATGAAAATTAGCACCCAGAGAGTGCAACGGATAAATAGTATGACCTAACAATATGCATCTCAGTACACTAGCAACATGTGAAAAGAACTAAGAAATTAACCATCCTATCTACTACTTAGTACATTTTCAGTTTTACACAAATAGGCCAAGAGAGCTAAACATCCACGCTTTAAGGTACACATTTTTTCCTTTTTTCCTACAAAGTATCTTTTGTTTCTCTCCTTCCACATAGTCCACCAAATACACATTGGTATAGTGTTCCACAACTTTTTTTCGCCTTTTTGTAGTCCTCCTCTATTCCAACAAAGTAGAACATCTTTATGATATTCTGGCATGTTCTGTTTAACTTCAAGCAAATTCAAAAATTTGTACTTGATCGGATTTTGTGATTCTACAGTGGATGAATAAATGCTTTGCATCTTCATAATCTTCTTCATCATTTACGAGCCTATAGTCTTCAACTTCCATCTCATGCTAGCTATAAGAGTTAAAACCCATTGTGTTAATTTGTTGAGATTTATGGAAATACTTCCTGGTGACTTAATCCTGTGATAGGCTTGTTAATGATTCTTCTAATTTATGTGCATGAATGTGCTTTGTTTAGCCTTTCATGAACTATATTGTTGCAGTTTATCCCTCAATCAGTATCTATAGAATCAAGGTTTAAGCTAGCAAAATGCCGTAGTTATTATTTAGAGTGTTGATGATATTGTTTCTCTGAAATATTTACCAAAACCAAATTGCAGCTAGCTGATGCTAAGGATGTAATTGAAGCAGTTAGGAGCCTTACAGGAGTCCGCTTACCTGTTTTGACACCAAATCTTAAAGTAAGCTGATAGAAATGCAAAGAGTGAGACTCTCCTTTATATTTCTTGTTGAATATGTACACATTTTCATGCTCGCACTGGAACCTGGATAATGGGGATAGCTCATAATTGTCATCGGCCCTATTCCAGGGTTTTGAAGCAGCTGTTGCAGCTGGAGCCAAGGAAGTAGCAATCTTTGCTGCAGCATCTGAGTCCTTTTCTCGGTCTAACATTAATTGTAGCATTGCAGACAGTCTTGCTCGTTATCGTGATGTTGCTCTTGCAGCCAAAAACCATTCCATCCCCATTCGTGGGTATGAGTTCTAGCAGATCAACATTTTCTAGGAATTAGGTCTAACATTTCCAATTACCGAATTAACATTTGTGACAAATTTGTGATTTTTTCTTTTCCTGATTATTTTAACTCTACTTACGTCTATGAGCTCAAATTATTCCTTTGTCAGTGGTTAGACTTCAACATGCAAAAACAATTTGTTTCTGGTATTAGATATATCTTCAAATCAATGTAGCTCTTGTATTTCAAGCTCCAAATGAGCACCAATAGTAAATTTGCTAGAATAATTGGTAGTAATGTGTAGGAATATGTTCTTTGGTTGACTTGTATGGGAGTTTATCTGGGGAAGTAAGGTTGTATCTCTTGAACTGAAAAAGTGGCTATCACTATTTTCTATCAGGTATATATCATGTGTTGTTGGCTGTCCCGTAGAAGGAGCAGTGTCTCCATCAAAAGTTGCATATGTGGCTAAAGAACTAGTAGATATGGGCTGCTTTGAAATTTCTCTTGGTGATACAATTGGAGTTGGTACTCCAGGTAATTCTAAACCTCATCTGCTTTCACCATTTTGCCATTTTGTACCTTTGGTCTGCCAGAAGAATCTGTATCTTGTGTGTTTGGTAAAATTCTAGCATGTGCCAGCATTACATTGCTTGTCAGTGGTTCTGATTCTTAATTGAAGAAGAATTTAATTTGCAGTTCCCTCCTTTGTGAGAGAAGATAATGATGGATCTTTCAGCTACGCGCTGCTGAGATAACATAGACAGCTAACGATATATTTGCTTTATTTAGAGAAGTGCAGTGTTACTATGTTATTTAGTTAATTAGTAATACATTTTAGTTGAATTAGCTTGCTTTGCAGAGTTGCTGGATTTTAGATTCAATTTCCAGTGACAGATACTGATGACTGCTTATTTTTTATGCTGAATGTATTAAGTTAGGTTTCAATGTGGTCTTCTTCTGGCTTTAGAGAATAAAAATATAAAAAGGACTGTCAGGATGGTGCCAAGTAGTTTTTAATGTGGCGTTACCCTGCCATAGACAAAAGCCTGGCATTTAAGTGGAGAGGGTGGAGGAGCAGGCCCATTATCCACTGAGTTCCGAACCGTGCGCCACGGGCCTTTAGGGATTTCTCGGTTATGGAAAAGGTTTTTACCGCGATGCTTTTTAAGGAGAGAGAAAGAAGTTAGTGTATATAATCCTTAAAATAACTGATATGATATCTGTCAAATGTTAACTGCTGAATGCTTGTACTGGCCATGATAACCTTGATAAAGGCACGATAGGAAAGGCAATGGTGTTCACCTTTTCCTTTTTCATTGTTAAAGGAACTACCTCAATGATTTTAACTGTAGACATATTTGCCATACTGATAAACTTCGTGTTCTACACTCCCTTAACTATGTTCGTTTGAACTCGATTACTTAATAAGGAGATGACGTTATTTGAAGCCAGCACAGAGTGCGTTCTACAATCTACACTCCCTTAACTATGTTCGTTTGAACTCGATTGCTTAATAAGGAGATGGCGTTATTTGAAGCCAGCACAGAGTGCTGTGAAGTCTACACAGAATCCTTCACTGAAAGTATTTCAACTTCATTGTCTATGTCGAAATTATTAAAATAAGTGCAATGAATGTTCACCAAATGTTTTTCCTTAAAATTAAAAGATGTTTACTATTTGTCAATCTGTTATTGAGTTTTATCTGAAATTGATTTGATTGTCAAAAATGTCATTCCTTGCTTCAGTAAACCATCTTTTATTTGTTACATTTTCTCATATTTCCTGTCCCCAACTATCCATTTGCTAGGTACTGTTATTCCGATGCTTGACGCTGTAACCCAAGTTGTCCCTGTAGAGAGGCTTGCTGTTCATTTTCATGACACTTATGGACAAGCTCTTTCCAACATTCTTGTGTCGTTGCAAGTAAGATCTCCTTTCTATACTTTTTGTAGTGAGATTTGTTTTCTAGATGTTTATTCTGGCCGTTTCGATCACATTATGAGAACATTTGTTTGGTGTATAGTTGGTGCTGTATCCATCCAAGTCTTTTAAAAGGTCTAGCATGTCTTTTTTTATTTTATTTATGCAAGCTGGCACTGTGAAAATAAAATGCAAAAAGCGGAATGTAAAATGAAAAATAGTGAAGGTATCAAGTAATCACAGGAACAATTCACTGAGCTAATTTCTTGCAAGAATGGCCCAAAGAACTTTCTTCACTTTTGTTGATTTCCCTTCTTTTGGAAGGAAAGCTCTGGGGAATTAATTAATTAATTAATTACAGAATCTTTAAGCATTTTCTTTCATCCGGGAAATAATTTTCTGTACCCCTTAAAACATGAGTTAACTTTGTATTTTCTTCTGTCATCCTTTTTGGTAGGTAGCTTTTGTTAGGTAATAAGAATAAAAATCCTGATAGTAGAGTAATGCATGAAAAGGATGTTAATGACTGCGCGGTCATTTAGTGTGTGGTTCTGAGAGGATAAGGGCAGATAAAAAAGATTATTATGTTGAGTTTGGTAGAAGATTATTTAGGATGTGTTAGCTACAGCCTACAGAACATCCTCTTAATATTTCTTCCTCGGAGGATTGGGGATTACAATAATGTCTTTTTATTTTAAAAATCTTAGATCAAAATCATGCTAACTCGATTGAACATCTTTGAACTTTCCTAATAATTTTTTGAAAAGATTAATTAATTAGGCTACTATTGTTGTTATTAATATTATAATAATGGCAATAATCTTTACTCATAATAATTTACTTCTAATATTTTTCAATTGAGATTATATTTTTATTATTGTGAATCATCACTACTTACTAAATTCTACAACAACAACATACTCAGTATAATGCCACGTAGTGAGGTCTGGGGAGGGTAGTGTGTACGCAGACTTTACCCTTACCTTGTGAAGATAGAGAGACTGTTTTTAATAGACTCTCGGCTCAGGAAAGCTTACTGACTAAACTAACGGCATAAATTATTTATCAAATTGACAAAATTAGTCTATCTAATAAATTTTAACAAGCTAAAAATAATTTTGAAAAATTAACTAAATGCTTTACAATTTAAGCTCTAATTAGTTAGATCATAAATGCCGACAAAATCAATATAAGTTGGATAAATATTTTTTGGTGAAAGTAAAGGATGAAATTGCGGAATTTTAGGAGATAAGAAGTTGATTTGATTAGGGTCTTGCATGTGCATCTTGTTACTTAAGTGATGGAAGTGGCATAAAACGTATTATGTATTCTTTGACACTTTGAACCTTACAACAACAACAACAAACCCAATGTAATCTCACAAGTGAGGTATGGGGAGGGTAGTGTGTATGCAGACCTTACCCCTACCTTCAAGAAGGAAGAGAGGTTGTTTCCAGAAGACCCTCGGCTTAGACACTTTGAATCTTAATGCATAAATATTGCTTTATTTACCGAAGTGTTTTATCTTGATAGATGGGGATCAGCACAGTGGATTCATCTGTATCAGGCCTTGGGGGTTGTCCATATGCTAAAGGTGCCTCGGGTAATGTGGCTACAGAGGATGTCGTTTACATGCTTAATGGACTAGGAGTGAAGACAAATGTGGATCTGAGAAAGCTTCTATTGGCTGGAGATTTCATCTGCAAACATTTGGGTCGCCCTTCTGGTTCTAAGGCTGCCATTGCCTTGAGTAGAACATCTACTGCCTCAAAGCTTTAAGGGGGACATCTGATGTCTTTGAATTTGTACACCGCTCCCGCTCTGAGGTGAAAATCACTTCACACCAACTCATACTGTACCATAATTTTCTTAAACATATCCATGTCTATGTGTTGTTGCCCTTCCTTTTTACTTTTCCTAAGCCGAGGGTCTACCGGAAACAGCCTCTCTATCTTCTTGAACGTAGGGGTAGGGGTAAGGTATGCGTACACACTACTACCCTCTTCAGACCCCACTTGTGAGATTACACTGGGTTTGTTGTTGTTGTATCCATGTCGATGTGACTGACTGGATTGGTCTTTTGAAGGGTGAGAGTGGGAAGGAAGAGGAAGTTCTCAATTGAGAACCAGTAGACCTGTATAATGCAAACTCATTACTATTAACAAGTTCATTTACACTGATACAGAGTCTAATAATACTTGTATTCATCGAATAGTCAATTTCTTACTGAATCTCCGTATGACGAGCATTGTATACTATATAGGGTTAGAGACATTCCAAACTACGTAAATAAATAACCTTATAGTATCTAATTCACAACCTTCGACAGGTAACAACAATCCAAACAAGCTGAAAAAAAACTTATTTAAGCATGTTGAGATCACAATCTCCAAAATATTTTTTAAAATATTTTTCAATTTTAAGATTTTCTTTTGTAATATAACGTAGGTGGTTATATCTATTCTTAAGCGGGTTTGTGAAACACAATTTAACCGAATCAACTTCAACTTTATTATTTGTAACACCAAATATTAGTAACGGGTAAGCGATTTCACATATACAAGTAGGCGATTTTAAATATGAATGAAGTAATTAAAGTCTTTCTTAAAGATGATCTTATTATTTCATCTTTTTGAAATATTTATTTATTTTTCTATACATAATTTATTCCGGAAACACATATTAATACATGAAATGGATGAACATTATATACAATATGGTTACAGACATTTCAAAACTACTTCATGACTTTCAAACTATTTGACAAACTTATTGTTTCTTAAAAAGGTTTGTTTAAGCATGTTCATATCGCAATTTCAAAAATATTTTACCAAAATATATCACGCTTTTAAGATTGTCTTTCGTTTAACATATGCAATTATATTCATTATTAAGCGGTTTTGTGAAATACACTTAGGCGATTCAACTTCATATTATGGAAATAAACAAGCTCTATTGTATATTCCATCTATTTTCTATTTGTTTTCTTCCTCAGAAGTCCTTAACATGGGAAGAGAAATACCTGAAAAATATAAAATCTCCTCAATAAAAGAAAAGAATAACACATTTCGTAAAAATTGATGCTCAAAGCTTGATGGCTTAATTGAATTGCTTTGATTGACCTATGCTTTTTCATTTTTATCATCAACTTTTTACTGTGGATGAAAAAAATCTAAAAATTATTATAAGAACAGGAAAAGGGTTAAAATTATTTTAAAATTGTAAAATTCCTCTTTAACTAATTTCGTATAAAGTGCACATTTTGGGAATTATTTTTCTAAAATAAAACTCTTATCTTCTCCCCCCTCATTCCCTCATCATCTTCAAAAACCTCCGCAAAACCTTATCAAATAAAGCCCCCGGCGATGGCGACGATTGCAGCCGCCGTAGCGGCGGCTTCCTCCGCCTTCACCTCCCTCCACCTCACTCGCGCAACTCCCTACACGCGCCGCCACATTCATACTCTCATCACATCCTCACTCTCCTCTTCCTCCTCAACTGAATTCAACATCACCTTCGCTCCTCCAAAACCAAAACTCAATAAACCAGAACCCTCACTTCCCAGAAACCCTAATTCCAACTCGGACATTGCCGAACTCGGTGATCAACTCTATATCCCCTGGATTGTTCGTGATGAAAAAGGTAACCTCACTCTCCAATCGACTCCTCCGGCGCGTCTACTCCACGACATGGCTAATGCTAGCACAAGTAAGAAGAATAATAAGAAGAGCAAACAGATTGCTTCTAAAGCCGCGACGGTGGGTCCTACAGCTGAACCTAAGTATTCAAAAGCGGCTCGCCGGTTTTATAATGAGAATTTTAGAGACCCTCCTCAACGCCTCAGTAAAGTCCTTGCTGCTTCCGGAGGTAATTTTAGCATCTCTAATTGTACCGTTTTCACCATTGTGCAAAATTAGAGACAGTTGTTGTAAAGTAAGGGAAAAATGTTGATATTTAGTTATGAGCAGATTGTGTTATGCGGTATCTAAGTGACATTATCAATTCCTTAAGTTGTAAGTGATAGATAGTTGCTGATGCCATAGACTGTGTTGAGGGGCGGGCCCATTATCCTAAAAGTTGTGTACTGTGATCACTGACCCTCGGTGGTTTCTCTGTTATCAAGAAAAAAAGTATTTGTTGTGGTGGCAATAATATTTAGAACTCAGCTAGACGTTAGTGGTGCTAGAAAACAGAAAATATATTTTGTTTATGTATGAACTAATAATGAGATGTACAATGGAGAACATCGGTGTATCAAGAACAATGGCAGCGCTGATAGATTATCTGAAATTGAGGTTTTGTTTATAGTGGCATCCAGACGGAGCAGTGAAGAGCTGATTTTTCAAGGTCGGGTTACTGTGAATGGTTCTGTTTGCAAAACTCCACAGGTCAAGTTTAGAAATGCTCCCATGTTGCAAAATTTGTTAGGGTTTGACTCCGGTGCATGTTTTTTTTGTTTGGTTATATTTTTGACATCTATTCTGCTTGTTGGCAGACTAAAGTAGATCCAGCTAGGGATGTAATTTATGTCAATGGAAATCGTCTTCCTAAGAAATTGCCTTCAAAGGTCTATCTTGCACTAAACAAGCCTAAAGGGTGTGTCTATCCTTCTTTTTTAATCAACAACCCTGGAGGAGTTCGGACTTTTGTTTGTTATGTCTGTGAATTGATTTGATTCAAGTTTAACAAAATTACAGGTACATATGCTCATCCGGGGAGAAAGAAACTAAGTCAGTCATGTCTCTTTTTGATAATTTTGTAAAGAGTTGGGTATGTTTTCTTCTGCTTGTATGGATTGTTTGTAAATATTTGTTCTTTCTGAGAAACCTGTGGCCTGGGAAGAATGGGCTATTTCGTAGTGCTAATTTATGGGATTTATGTTATATACACTGTCAGTTCTAAAAGTTGTTCCCAAAAAGAAAAGCTGTTACTTTCAGAAGCATTGCCATTACTATACTCTTGACTTTTTATTTCTGCTGTGTCTTTTTTTTAAAGGATAAAAGGCATCCTGGACAACCAAAACCTCGGCTCTTTACAGTTGGCCGGCTTGATGTTGCCACGACTGGCTTGATTATTGTGACTAATGATGGTATAGATGACATTTTCTTTTATAATTCCTCAGCACATACCATTTGTGACCTCACCAAGGTCTTTTTAAAAAGATAACCTCCATAAGGTTCGTTCAAAAACTGCCTGCATGGTAATCTGGTTTATGTTGCTCTTGCAGGGGAGTTTGCGCACCAGATTTCACATCCTTCGTCTAATTTGTCAAAGGAGTATGGTTTTTGATGTTTTCCCTCTTTATATGCCTTGCTTTTTTTTTTTG